CATTTATTCAAGTAGATAGGAAGACAGAGACTAGCTATCGGAGCATAATGCAAGATTTTCACTAAACCAGTCAGGATGGAACTGAAGGTAATCCATGGAGACCTGGTCGGTCAAAGCAAATGCGCTAGTAGTAGACCAAGTACATCTCACAAAGCTGGGCGTCTGTACAGGCACTGGACTAATGTAAAAGAAAGTTAGAGGGTTCGCCGGCTGCAGGGACCAAAACTAGCATTGGCCCATGCCAAGAACGGCCTACCAAGAAATGTCTCCAAATATTCGAACTAGCAGTACCTCGGGACCTTCTAGTATCTTTTCCCTTGGAAGGTAATTTGAAAATTGTTGATACGAAGAATTTTTTGAAATCTCATAGAAGACATTTACGGTCCGCCATGCTACACAAGTCAACCGAGCTAATGCGGAAAAGAATGCATATGGACCAACCTAGTGACTATGGGCCCCTCGATAAAACGCGCAAAGAATTGTAATACCAAGCGATGGGTCTCGAGAACATACGCATTCCTGATGACCGATGCACATTTCCTAACGAAGAACGTCAAAAATATGTGGCGCTGAGGAAGGGGCCCAGCAGTATATGCCAAGTTTCCGTGTATGCTATCTCGTGCTCAAGATTTGATGAATGAAAGAAGGCCACCGTCAACAAATGTTAGCGTCTCATACGGCAAACTATATTGTACAAAATATTGAAAAGTAAAATAAGTAAAGAAGTCACTAAGACTGTTCAGGCTCCGCTGACTTTTTATAATTTTTCAGCCATTCTTGCATCACGTCGATAGGGTACTCAGATCCCTCGCATTTTAATCCTGTGACAGGATCAATTATGTTGCCTACCGGATAAACGACCCTCTTTAACTTGTACACGGTATTGAAGGCAATTGGTGGATCGCATTTTTCGATGAGGACGATGTCACCAATGTCTACTTTCATGTCCTGCGTATGGGTCCAGTAAGTTTTCGATTGATAATAATACTGAAACATAAGATCACAAGAAAAATACCTTGAGTAAAAATTTGTTCAGACAGAGTTTGTGGAGTCTGACTTTTACAATGTTTTCTCGCGAAGCCATCAGACTTTGCCCAAAGGGTACAACCATGCCAATAGCAAGATCAAATGGGGCCTTAACCACTTTCCCACTGTAAGTGGCTGCCACTGGGGACACGCCTTCGAGTTCTGGCTTGTGAAACGGGAAAAACTTTTGAATGTGAGGTTCTATTCTCTTTTGAATGGCCTTACTCCGATGCAGCCAGTACCTAACCATTTTCACGAGTGAAATCCCTGCGCATACCACATTCAAAACGGCGCTACACCGTAGTACGGATTTCAAGATTAGGCACTAAACAGATGGGGTACAAAGTATTTTAGTCGTAAAGACTTTGCTCCGGAGATATCAATGCTTCTTTCGAAACATTTACTGCGAAGGTGATAATCGATCCGAAAACAGAGTACTAACGCAATAAGGGAGGAAACATAACATTTTCTAACTGCCAACGCGAGCTCAGCAGTTTTTCTCTGTTGTATTTGTAGCCTGAGGAGCCAAATATACCAACACAGCCACAAGGATATTAACTAAACCGGACGCTAAGGAGCGCTCGGTAGAACCATGTAGAATGCTAATATATTTGAGAGAGTAAGAAATACATTTTATTTTAAAGGTGGCATCAAAACTTTTAGGAAAGAATGTTTACATTCTCTGAGACAAAATGATAAATTAACAAAATACTCAAAAATCTAAGGGTTTAAATAAAATTCATACCTTTTATGAAGACATATGTTCTCCCAATTTCCGCCCTGCCAGCCAAATCCCCAAATCCCCTCGTCGAAATTCCGGGGAGATAGGGGAAGATCCGGGGGTGACGACGGGGATTCGATGGGGTGAGGACTGGGTTTTCAACCCACATATCCCCGTCCTCACTCCCGGATCTCCCCGTCAAAATTCCGGGCAGGGTGTGCATATTATTAAATTATTCGTAAAAAAATTATCAAGTGTCACCTAAAAGCGCACTATAAGTTCAAAATAGTCAAAAAATGAGTAAGATTGCACTTTGGGTCCGTCTACAGCATTCTGGAAATTTCGGGTTGCCGAATAATGCATATGCCTTAAACATCAACTCCGGATAAACCCGCATCCTGCCGTCGTCATCCCCGCCCAGTTTTGGGCGTGTGCTGGCAGGGCGGATTTCCGTTACTTTACACGTTCCATAGTGTGCTGGCAATGGGAGTACGGAGTGCTGATATGTCAACGTACGACAGGACATGTCTGAAGCTTCGGCTTATAGATCGGGAAAACTACGCAGCCATTAATTCAGAGGGAATTGGATAGGCAACTTCATGAGGAATGCGATCAGCAAATTGCTCGACTGTTGAAAGGTATC